GTCTTTCACATGTAAAAATATGTCAGCTCAGGAAATAAATCTAATACCTCCTCATTTCGATCTATAACATGAAAGCAAATGGCACACAGGAAGACGGGACTATTTCTGTTCCTTCCCCACTCCTTCCTTCCCTTCACTACACACACACACACACACACACACACACACACAGACACACACACAGACACACACACACACACACACATTCCTCTTTCATGGTGCCAACAAGGCGATTCCAAACAGTTACTATTTTGGTTATTAGGAAATACAAAACGAACACCCTAATCCCAGTAAAAGGCATTAGAAAGAGCAGCCCTTTCCTCTCTCCCAGAATACCAATTCAAAAAAAGCTCACCTAAAATTCTCTAAAAAGAGATGTGTAGGAATACCACTGATAAGGGCGAGCAAGCAGGCAGTGGGCCTGTCAGTCATTTCACCGCATGTTCTGTGTGGGTTCAGGTCTTCAAAAGTTTAAAATCTCATAGATTAGACAAATAGACATACAACCCAAACACAAGGGAAAATGAAGTAACACAGCATTAAAAAGATAGAAAGCAGACATTAAAGAAGATTCCCAAGAATAAGAGATCAGCAAATATATAGATGGGCTCACTCATTGACACATTTAAGGAGTTGAGTGGTCAGAGAATTGATAGAGGAAATGCAAAAGAGCCCTGCAGAGGTATAACCTAGAGGCCTTGCGTAAAGCCGTGCCCCCAGCATAGTCAGTTGTCTATGCAGGCAAGAGCTGAAGGGCCTGGATAGCAATTCAGAAGTGTAAACAGTTTAGAGATGAATTGATCATGCCCATGTGTTGATCATTTCACCAGGATTTATATTAGAAACTCACTTTTCTCTTCATAAATTTTTATCCCTCAACCTAGTAGATTCTTAACTCATTTTTCATTCATTCATCCATTCTCTCAAACTCACTCCAATCTTTCATCCCCTCCACTCTACCAAAACCACTCTCGTCAAGGTCAGTGATGACACCCCACAAATCCAATGGTTAATTCTCTGCTCACTTTATATGACTTACCAGCAACACTGAACACAGCTGATCCCTCTTGCTTCCTTGAAGCACCTTCACTTGGATTCCAGGATACCACATTCTCCTGGTTTTCTGATTACAACACA